TGGTACACTAAGGCTGTGGCAGACAACAGTAGGGAAAACCTATGGTCTTTGGAAGTGTGTAGTTCCTGGTAAGTGTGTGCTTGTTCCTGGTGAAACTTGGCTGCTTCGTGTGCACTTTTTAAGTAATGTCTATCATAAGTGGTAAACGTCATCTGAATTTCATACAGTAACTGTACTGTCTTCTGAGGGTCTCTCTCCACTCAAGTCTGTTAGATTTAAGGATTTACTTTTGTAGCTGTCATTTAAGCAATTAACTTCAAACCTGTAAGCTTATTGAATATAGATGCTTTGTGGATAGTTAAGCAAGTAGTCTGATCTATGTTTATGTTACAGAGCAAGAAATAAGAAATACTACTTTTATAAATCTTAAAGATATAAGAATCTCTAGAAAGAAGTGTGGATGATAGTTTTATTTTATATTGTACTTTGGTTCTCTAAACCTGGGGGGGGGGCAATGTCTAGAAAACTGCAAGTGAGTATTCATTAATGGATTGCTTACCCAACTCTTCCTCTTCAACACTAAATTAAATGGAAATTTTTTTTTTTTTTCATTAAAGTGGGGGGTGGAACTGAAGGTATTGACTGTTTTTTCTCCCTCCTCTCTACAGAAGAGGAGAATGCAGAAGCAGCAAAAGCAAGGACCACCCTTCCAGGAACTGCAGAGGAGGAAATAGGTAATGCACTGAACTGCCAGCTTCAACTCAGCTAAGCGTTAAAAGATCAGTCAAGATGGTAGCATTCTTTAGTATGGAAGAAGTAGTTAGTCCCTAAGTGCCTTCTGGCATTTTTCACTCTTCTCAAAAGATCTTTGAGTGCATTTTCCTGAAAATGACCGTGGTAAGTGTCAGACTAGTGACTAAAGCTGTGCAGACTGAACAGATGAGGCAGAGTAACTGGATCAGGTTAAATGGAAAAACAAACTGAACTGGTCTTTAAGCAATCCCTGCAACGTTTCTTTGGTTTATATATCTAAGTTGAAGTTAAATAATACCCTTCTTACTTAATTGCAGAAGATCTTGCCTCTGAAAACTCAGATTCAGTGTACAGCTCAACTCCTGAAGTTAAGGCCTGATTATCGTGACTGTTACGCAGCATATGGACATACAAGACTACATCAAGTGAACAGTGATAAACAGCAGCCTTCCAGAGCGCGCTCTCTGCATAAGGCAAAGATGGGCAGTAATTGGTGAGAATGCGGTGGAACTGGCTGGGTGTTGTCTGTAAGAGAACTGAGTATCCAAAAAAAAAAAAAGACAAGTAGAGTTTTGCTATCTTTTTAGCATAACTGCCTACTGTCTTTTCAAAGATGTGCAAGCCAAGATCCAGTCTCTCCAATTTCCATTAGACTCATTGTAGTGTGTTTTCTTTATTATGGAGAAGAGATACAATGGCTTTTACCCATTTTTTTTTTCTTGAAAGTTGGAAAATTTGGCTTTAGTTGAAAAGAAGGATTATGTACTAAAAGTATTTGGTTTGGGTTTTGTTTCATTGTATGCTGCTTCTGAATGTTTAACTGTTTTCAGTTGTCTAAATAAAATGCCTCTCAAAACTCGTATCTTACTGTTGAGCATTGGGTTCATGGAATGGAAAAGCAACCAAGTTAATTACGTAATCCTTTCTAGCATCTTGGTTTTGTACTATACAGAGGGAGAGCAATAAGAGTGTTTCATTGTTGGTACAGAGGGTAGCAAGTTCCTTGATCTGTAAGCTTTGTGTCTTTTTATTCTTTAAAGTTTGAATGTAAACGTGAGTCTCTAAAATCAAAACTAGTGAAAACTCCTACATTAAACGTGCTGCCTGAAGTATTTGGTTGTACATGAAAATCTCAGAGGTTGGCTATGAATCTGTATAAAGCTTGGGTTTAGTCCTTCAGACTGGATAAAAAAGTTACTCTTTCAAGGTTACAAATCATATTTTCTTCATTAAAGAAAATATTGCCATTCTTTAACTTGTCACTTCCTTTAATGTTATGCTGAAAGGTTTACATCATGCATTCTGTATGGAAAGGAGAAAAGTTACACAGAGGTATATTTATTCATACACCTTTTAATTTTTTTTCAGTCATACTTGTCCTTACTGTTCTTTTGGATTTTTTCCCAAGGGTACAGTAATGCTATCATCTTTGAAAACTGAAGCTTAACATTTGAAAACTGGGGTATACATGGAAACATGGGCAATTCTGTCTGAACACAAGAAAATACTTTTCCATGGTGAAGGGCGGTCTAACACTGGAACAGGTTGCCTGGAAAGGTTGTGAAGTCTCCATTCTTGAAGACACTCAAAACCCAGCTGGATGTGGCCCTAGGGAACCATGGGCCAGATGTAGCTGTGCCTGCCTGAGCAGGTGGTTGGACTTGCGTGGTTGACAGAAGTCCCCTTCCAGCTTCAGCTGTTGGAGTGGGGGAAGTGAGAAGGAAAACAGAGTGATACCATGAATCATGGTTTCTTAGTGCAATAGTAGTGTTAAGGATATGGTATTTCACAGACTTTATTCCAAAATTAGCTTTGCAGTTATCTATTTGAATTTTACTCTAAAAACAAGCAACTTGCAACCCTCTGATTTACAGCTGTTTCAGCCTTGTTATTGATTCCATTAAGGCTTATGAGGGCTCCAAATCTAGTACTTCAGCCTGGAAGCTGTTCATTTTACAAGCTGAAGGATGTGTTTAAAACAAGAAACTCGTACACCTTGCCCCATGGTGAAACTTCTTGCAGGCTGTGGTCTTTGTGCCATATTTCAAGTAGGCTGCGTAGAGTTTTATAGAGGTGTCTGGAGTAGTGTCCTCGGATTTCAGAGCTGTGACCCTTTGCTGCGTCACGTGATGTTGAGTTGGCGGTTTCTTCGCTGCCGTTGAGCAAATAGGGCTGAAGTTGCAAGATGTTTCATCGAAATGAGAATACTAACAATGTTCAATACTTTTTTTCATGTGAGTTTGTGTCATTTCAACTGGAAAAAAGTAAAAGCTGTGAAGTTGTCAGTGGCTCTGTTACCAGACTTCCATTTTGCAGGTGTTGCTAGAAAGTTTTATAAGGTTGGTAAGTTTATAGAGACCATTGTGTACGTGTGACAATAGTTTCCGCTTGAAGGTTCAACTCGAAGAAATGGGAAGTTGCCTGGACTCGTTACCATCAAGACGGCAAGTTAGGTGTTACTTATCACTGAAGGAACAGAATATCCTAGCAGCTCCCATCACAGAAGGGCAGCGGTCTCGCCCTGTGGAGGTTGAGGGGTGGGCCTTGGCTGCCTCGTTACCGACAGCTCCGGCGCAAAGGGCTCGGTAATA